ATGGTTGGAATTTGTTTGTTAAAACAGAAGTAAGAAACATTTACGGGTTTTATTATTATTTTGTTTGTTGTTCCTCTTTTTCCCGTGTTCTGTATACTCAGCCTTTTGTCCGTGACTTAGATGGTCTGTCGTTGTGTGTTTGCTCGGTCTTATTCCTTTTTTGTAATTGTTCTTCGTATATTCTCTTATTTTTGCAAGCGCTCCAGAGCGTAGTCAATAAACCCTCGCATAATCCAAAAAAAAAAATCAAGCGAAAAAATTGATCAAAGAAGTGAAAATGGCTGAATCGTTAAAGAAAAATGAAATATATAAATTAGAAGGACTCAGTTCATTTATCCGAACGAATTTGAAACGATCAACAGCAAAAACTATCGATTATATTGGTGCCACAAGTTCAGGTATGTATGATACAGGTAGAATAAGCATTCTTGTATATAAGCGCGTGTCTTCTTAACCTTTCAGAAGCGGAATTTTCTTCTGACGACGATGAGAACGAACAATATAAAAGAGACGAAGATGATAGTGTTGGTGTTGATGATGAGGAGGAGGAATTTGTCGATGATGAGCAACAACAGCGATCAGAAGATGAAAATAATAATACAGCGACGACAACAATATCGAAAACAAAACGAAATACATTTTGTGGTATGCGAGTAGTTGATTCGATTAAACCAGAAAAAATTGATTCATATTTTCGAATTGAAATTAATGGTGCTTTAAAATACATTCACAAACAAACGGCAGCTTGGTTTCTTATGGATAACAAAACAAAGCTATCAAGCGATCAATTACAACGTGTACAAGAAACTGGACAAGAATCGCAGAAGTGAAACAGTAATAGAGCCTTCTGATCTTCTTACGAGTTTCCTTTTCTAAATGTCTTTCCATAGTATGAATGAATCTTAGGTTTACGGATTAAAAAAAAAGAGAAAAATAATTCAACTATTTATTTCAGTGTCACAGTCATCACAGAAAAAACCATAGTTTCGACAAAAACAGTTTACTACACAGAAAAAATTTCAAGAGCAAAACATTTCGAAGAAAGAAAATTTTCAAAAACCAAAACATCTTCAGAAAAGAAGAAATGTCAATGGCGCCATTCTAATCAAAAGAAAAATATTTGATAAAAAGAAAAGAACAACTGATTAAGGTATTGTACTTATTACAGGTTAGTAATTTTAAATTAAACGAAATAAGCAGATAATTGACCTACAGCATCCGACGGTGGTTCTGTTGCTGTTGTATATATTATCCATTTTTTAACAAACGTGGATTTTGGTTTTTTTCTTTGCCAGAAATTGGGGAGTACGAGCAGTACTCGTACCCGTAATTCGGATCTTTTTAATGATTACCCAAAAAAATACTCGAGTACGTGACTTTTAGGACACCTTTTCCTATTGTAGCTGTCAAACAGATGTGTTGTATAGAATCGGTGTGGTTAAATATGGTCTAACATTAGTTCGTACAGAGTAAATGTTTTAGCAGAAAGGAGGCACTAATTCACTACTATATCTTTTTATCTTTATATGGGCGAAAAAATAAGATGAGCAACAGAATTGGTCAAGAGAATTCGTTATTTCCTTTTCCGTATTTTCTTCTTTAGGATCATATAGTCATAACATGGACACACATAGTCTATAGAAAGAAAATAAATCTATATACGATGTATGTCAATTTTTATTTAGTTTTTAAATACCTTTATGTTAATAAAATAATAACAGATCATGAGACAATAATAACTGATACCATCATGGTCAATTTTCAATATCATAACATATATATTCAATCGATCATCATTATCGATGTATTTCCATCGTCATGAAAAATAGGTCTTGTGAGCCTTTTGTTTAAATCTAGTGGCCATGACGATTCTTTAAATGACCGCCCAAATACTCTTCTCTCTATTTTATTCAAAATACATAAAAGGTTTTATGATTTCTTGACTGAAAAGTCGATGATAATGTGTTCATACTATGAGAGTAAAGCTTTCTAAGTGGTTACCATTAGGGAGGAGTCTCCGGAATCCAGGAACAGATCTTTTTCCTTGCTTCTTATAAACCTTCTACTTGTATTCAGCCTGTATTCGAGTTCAGTTTTCGAATACTCGTACCCAGCACAAAGTACTCAGCACTCGTACTCGAAGAACTACGTACTAGAGATGCGCACGATACCGGTTTCGTATCCAAACCCGATCCCCAAATTTCTTTTCACAAGTACCCGATCCGAGAACTTTGTATCTGTATCTGATTATGTCTAAAAACTTTCTCCAAAAAAACGGAACCCGCACCTATGCATGCACCAGCTATGGTTAACTGGAACCGAGCATAACCGAAAATATTGTACAAGTCCTTGAAAACACGTTTGACACAATAAGAAGGAATTATCTTTCTTCAATCAACAACTGTTCATCCCGGAAGAAAGATGCATGCTATACAAAAACAGAAATAACCTCAATAACTGGTATTTCTGACTTTTCAGCAGGAATAAAGACTTCTCGAAATTGAACTTAGCAACAAACGTATGACCAACTTAATTTCCTAGATTTTATCTGCTGGGCGCACTTTTATACAAATCGATCTTCACGGTGAAAAGCAGTAAATACCAGTTGCCATCGTAAAGATTGCTTTGTATAAAGGTGCGCCAAGCCGATAAAATCTAGTCAATTAAATTTGCTACGACTGGTTGTTGACCATTCCGCTACGACCGAATTCGGTTAACCGATTGAAACCGAAACCGACGTACGCGTAGCCGTACCAGTAACACCTCTCTTTAGTGGTGAAGTGTCACCCCGATTCAATAAGCTTCTTCGAGTTCCACTCGATCGATCTCACTTTTCAACTTCGAATTTCTTCTGTAAACTTAGAATTGCAGAAAAATGAACAAAAAACTTGGAAATAAGAACAAGACAAAC